CATGCCATTATCCACCACGCCCGGCTAATTTTTTTTGTATTTTTAGTAGAGACGCGGTTTCACGGCGTTAGCCAGGATGGTCTTGATCTCCTGACCTCATGATCTGCCCGTCTCGGCCTACCAAAGTGCTGGGATTACAGGCATGAGCCACCGCACCCAGCCCACCCAAGGCCTATTCTAATGCTGCCAAACAAAGGTCAAAAGACTGCACACACGTGACTGCCTTTCCTAGCAAGATTAAAAATTGAAAGATCAGCAGGAAGTTACTAATTAACGTGGGTAGTGTATGTAAAGCTATGTGAATTGTATGCTTTCTCTCTTCTTTATCTGTGTATTTGAGAACATCCATAATGAAAGTATGGTGGCTGGCGAGGTGGCTTACACCGGTAATCCCAGCAGTTTAGGAGACCAAGGCAGGCAGATCACCTGCCTATTTTAACTTATCATATTCCTTTATTCAGGGAGAGAAGTTATTGAGATGTTAACTGGTTGTAGGCAAAGGGAAGAAACATGGTGGAGTCAGGTTTGTTGGTGGAGGAAAAATGGTACTAAAGACTCTGCCCAACAAATATTCGGAATCCAGAAATGTTCATATTTCTCCAGGGTTCAGTTTATCATGGGTCACTTTCCATTACACGGATTCTGGAGAGCAAATAAGATAGGAGTCATTCAGGTATCAAGCCAGAGTCTTTTTTTTTTTTTTTTTTTTTTTTGGGAGGGGGAAGACAGAGTCTAGCTCTATCGCCCAGGCTGGAGTGCAGTGGCACAATCTCAGCTCACTGCAACCTCTGCCTCCCAGGTTCAAGCGATTCTCCTGGCTCAGTCTCCTGAGTAGCTGGGATTACAGGTGCCAGCCACCACACCTGACTAATTTTTGTATTTTTAGTAAAGACTGTGTTTCACCATATTGGTCAGGCTGGTCTTGAACTCCTGACTTCGTGATCCACCCTCCTCAGCCTCCCAAAGTGTCATCTCAGGATTTTAGGCGTGAGCCATGGTGCCTGGCCAAAATGGTTATTTTTAACTTTCATTTTCTCGAGACAGAGTCTTGCCCTGTCCCCCAGGCTGGAGTGCAGTGGTGCGATCTCGGCTCACTGCAAGCTCCGCCTCCCGGGTTCACGCCATTCTTCTGAGACAGGTCTGCCCCCTGTCCCCCAGGCTGGAGTGCAGGTGCATCTCGGCTCACTGCAAGCCTCGCCTCCCGGGTTCACGCCATTCTCCTGCCTCAGCCTCCCGTGTAACTTGACTACAGGCGCTGCCACCACCACCAGCTAAGCTTTTGTATTTTTAGTAGAGACGGGGTCGCTAGCCAGGATGGTCTCGATCTCTCACCTTGTGATCCGCCTGCCTCATTCTCCAAAGTGTCATCCTAGGATTACAGGCGTGAGCCACCACCAGCCCAAAATGGTGATTTTTATAATTCAAATCATTCTATGTTTACTAATGGAATTTTTTTTTTTTTTTTTGAGACAGAGGTTCACTCTGTCACCCAGGTTGGAGTACAGAGGCCCATCCTTTCACTGTCACCCCAGCCTCCCACCCAAGCATTCCTCCTCTTGCCTCAGGCCTCCGAGTAGCTAATCATGGAGCACCACCATGCCTGGGCTACTTTTGTATTTCTCTTTAGTAGAGAGGTTTACCTGCATTGGGCAGGCTGGTCTCAAATTCTGACCCGTGATCCTGCCTCAGCCTCTCAAAGCTTGGATTAGGATGAGCCAGCGCCCGGCTGAAATCTTTTGTTAATGTGCATCTTGGCATATACACTGAGACACACACACACACATATTCCAATATATATCAATGTATGTGATAAAGCCACCTAGGTCAAGATATAGCAGATTTATTTTCTTTTTCTATTTTTTTTGAAACAGACACTGCTCTGTCACCTGTGACTGGAGTGCAGTGACGCGATCTCAGCTCACTGCAACCTCCACCTCCACGAGTTCAAGGGATTTTCATGCTTCAGCCTCCTGAGTAGCTGATTAATACTAATTTTTGTATTTGTTGGCTAATTTTTGTATTTTTGGTTTTGCCACATAGTTGTCCAGGCTGGTCTCCAAACTCCCAGCCTCAAGTGACCAGCTGCCTTGGCCTCCCAAAGTGCTGGGATTACAGGATGTGGAAACACTGCGCCGCTTCCCTTTTCTTTTCTTTTTTCTCTCTCTTTTCTTCCTTCCTTCCTTCCTTCTTCCTTCTTTCCTTTTCTTTTATGCGATCTGGTCTTGTTTCAGTCATTGGAAGGTGCTGGAGTGCACTGCGCCAGTCAGCAGTTTGCCATTGTAGTTCTCAAAACTTGAGTTTGAAGTGATCTTCTGCTGCTTCCTGAGTAGCTGAGACTACAGGCGCACACCAGCGTGCCATGCTAATGTTTAATTTTTTGTAGAGATGGGATCTCGCGAGTTGCCTGTTGGTCCCAACCCTGGCTCCAAACGACTTCTCTCGGCCTGGGGCTCCCGGTGTTGCGGATTGGGGAAGTGCTGGGATTACAGGCGTGAGCCACTGCACCCAGCCAAGATACAGCAGATTTCTGGTACCCCAGAAGGCTCCTTCCTGATCCAAACTTTCCCACAACGGAAACTACTCTTCGGACTTCAATCATCATCAGTTCTGCCTTCCTGCGCTTCATCTCAGTGGGATGGTGCAGTGTCTCTCATACCTGGCTCCCTCTGTTCACCCATGTCGTGGAATGTTCCTGCCCCTTCGTTTTTCTTTTTTGTCCATGTAGTATTCCACGATGTGAATGTATCACCATTTATTCACTCTCCTGTTGATGGACATTTTGGTGGTTTTCATTTGGGGCTCTTATGAATAAAAATGGCAAGGAACATTCTTATATAAGTCTTTTTGTGGACATTTGCATTCATTTCTCTTGTGTACATGCTTAGGATGGAATTTCTGAAGGTAGGCATATATTTAGCTTTAGTAGAAACTGCCAAACAGGTTTCCAATGTGCTTATACAACTTTATGCTACTGCCAGCTTGACAGTTCTTGTACTTCTACATCTTTTCCAATACTCGGTATAACACAGCATTTAACTTTAAACAGAGATAAAATGATGGAAAGATCCAAAGAAGTGTGCGTGTTCCTGAAGGACATCCAATAAAGGGCCTCTTCTATTCGTCTATTTCTGGTACTGAAAACCACTGCATGGCCAGATCAGGAAGGAGGCCTGGTACAACTCCCAAGGAGGCACATGTCCCTCAGGTGGGCCTCGTGTCCCAGAAACTCCGGGGAAGGGGTGGAGAGGTGCCTTCTGGGCGAGCTGGTCTCCTCTGGCTTTTCTTGTCCCCTAGAGCTCCCAACCAGGAGACAGAGCACAACCTGGCCAGGGAGCAGTATCTCCTACTGCCCTTGCTGTGAGTCAGCCATTCTGCCCTCTCTCAGGAATTACAAAATCCAAAGGTACCCGGCATCGTTATTTATTTATTCATTCATTTATGCGGCATGGTTTTCCTCAGCTCTGTCAGATGGGTCTCTGTGAAGGGAGCGGGTGGGGGTGAGTGGCCCCTCCCTGGAGGAGGCAACCCCCTGGTCAGGATCTTTGGGGCTCCAGGTCTCATGAGTTAGGGCCAGTCTCCCTAGAGAAACCCTTCTTGGCTAGGGCTGGGGAGCCCACCAGAGTGACCCAATCAGTTCTCAGGGCCTGTGGTGGAGCCAAGTAGTTTCGAGAAGGCCGTGTTCAGCTACAACCTAAAGAGCACTCATGCAAGTTGGGGAGGAGGACTAGGGGTGCACAGCTCTGAGCTGAGAGGAGGACTAGGGGTGCACAGCTCTGAGCTACAGGGAAGGGAGGACTAGGGGTGCACAGCTCTGGATTGAGTCAGACTCACCTGAGGACTGAGCCCAGGAGGAGGCCAAGTCACTAACCATAAAAAGGAGCAGATGCCTCCCTGGGCTGGTTGAGATGATTCTTGGGCATCAACTCCCAATAATTTCTAATTATACCCAGAAATACTGATTCACACAGCAACTAGTGAATAATAGCCTTTTAGAGCTAAAAAAGCCTTGTATAGTTATTTGTAAGTTGACATATGCATTTTACACAAACTAGAGGCACCGTGGTAGGCCAGCGGCGGCCTGTTCAGGAACCTTTAGCAAAGGCGTGCACAGCTCTGAGCTGAGAGGAGGACTAGGGGTGCACAGCTCTGAATTGAGTCAGACCCACCTGAGGACTGAGCCCAGCAGGAGGAGGCCGAGTCACTAACCATAAAAGGAGCAGATGCCTCCCCTGGGCTGGTTGAGATGATTCTTGGGCATCAACTCTAATAATTTCTAATTATACCCAGAAATACTGATTCACACAGCAACTAGTGAATAATAGCCTTTTAGAGCTAAAAAAGCCTTGTATGATTTATTGTAAGTTGACATATGCATTTTACACAAACTAGAGGCACCGTGGTAGGCCAGCGGCAGCCTGTTCAGGGGCCACAGCAAGGAGATTGGATTTCCTTAAGTGCAATGGGAGTTACTGGCTAGGCTTTAAGGTTTTAGCCACAGGAAAGATGAATGTATTTCAGAGTAATATGGTGGATTCAAAATGAGGTTTAGAACTAGATCGATAAATTTTTTTTTTTTTTTTTTTTTTTTAAGACGGAGTCTCACTCTATCGCCCAGGCTGGAGTGCAGTGGCGCTATCTCGGCTCACTGCAAGCTCTGCTGCCCGGTTTCAAGCGATTCTCCTACCTCAGCCTCCGGAGTAGCTGGGATTACAGGTGTCCGCCACCACACCCGGCTAATTTTTGTATTTTTGGTAGAGACGGTGTTTCACCATGTTGGCCAGCCTGGTCTCGAACGCCTGACCTCAGGTGATTCGCCCGCATTGGCCTCGCAAAGTGCTGGGACTACAAGCACGAGCCAGGAGGCCGGACCCAACCTTTTTTAAAATGACGGTTTCGGCCGCGGTGGCTCACAGCGCGCGGTGCCCATCCGCACTCTCGCGGGAGAACGGGCGTGCGTGCGTGCGGCGGAAGTCCCGCCTTCCGGAGCCTGCGGTTGGCCCTGCCCGCAGCCCGTGAGCTCCGAGTAGGAAGACAAACTGGATTGCCGGAAGCGGGAGAGTCCGGACTAGCGGCGAAGGGCTCTTATTCCCAGTCGGCTGTGCCCGCGGAGCCGCCTCGTTGCCGTTGGCCGTAAGCGGGGGCGGCAGTCCCTCGGCCAGCGCCTCGGGCTGCGAGTGGCGCCGGGAGCGGGGGCGTCGGCTCAGCCAGCGGCTGGCGTCCGGGCCCTGCGCGTCAGGTCCTGGCCTGGGGCAGGGGGGCGGCCGGCGGCGGGGGCGGTGCGGGCTCGGGGTTGGCGTCCGGCCGAGCCCGGGAGGCGGGCGTGGAGCGACGGCGGCACCGGGGCCTGCGGGGACCTCCGGGGCGCAGCCTCGGGCCTCTCTCCATCTCTAGGTGGTGGTGGCTGTGGGCGTTTCTGCGGGCGATCCTTTTGAGTATTTGTTTCACGCATGCGCCCTGCTGTGGGGTAAAGCGGCAGATTCATGCTGCTGTCATTTGTCATCAAAACGATGGGCTTCCTTGCCCGGCGCTGTGACTCAGGCCTGTAATCCCAGCACTTTGGGAGGCGGAGGCGGGCAGATCACGAGTTCAGGAGAGCAGTGTCATCCTGGCTAACACGGTGAAACCCGGTCTCTACTAAAAATACGAAAAAAAAAAAAAATAGCTGGGCGAGGTGGCGGCGCCTGTAGTCCCAGCTATTCGGGAGGCTGAGGCAGGAGAATGGCGTGAACCCGGGAGGCAGAGCTTGCAGTGAGCTGAGATCGCACCACTGTACTCCAGCCTGGGCGACAGAGCGAGACTCCATCTCAAAAAAAAAAAAAAAAAAAAGTAAAAACGATGGGCTTCCTGTCGGGTGTGTGTGCCTTTTGGATTTGAGGGCAGGGGGATGACATTGTGACTTGGCCTCCTCTGACCGTCCATTCTCAAGGTCTCGCCAGCCAGCGTAGTGCAGAAACTCGGCACACCCTGCCTACCTTGGAAGGAGGCTTTCCCTTCCCCACCTCACTCCCCTCCATCTCTTCCCTCTTTCCCTCTCTCCCCTTCACTCCCCTCCCCCAGCTCTTCCCCCTTACTGTTCTCTTTTTTTTTCTGCATTAAACCTTTCGGGAGTGTCTTTGTAAACTATTAAAAAGAGTTAGGTCTTCAACATGTATGTTTACTTGCAGGCCTGAGAACTGGAGGAAACTGGAGAAAAGATGCCCTCTGACTCTTTCTGTTTGGCTGCCCAGGCTCGCCTTGACTCCAAATGGTTGAAAACAGATATACAGGTGGGGTTTGACATGTCTTTTTCTTGATGTGTTTCTGCTTCCATGTTTAAATTTCTCGTGTAAGGCTTTTTTTTTAGGGTATGTAAAGGGAAGTCAGTTGTATCTTGCTATATTAGAAAAGTAGGTTTATTTGGCCGGGCGCGGTGGCTCAAGCCTGTAATCCCAGCACTTTGGGAGGCCGAGACGGGTGGATCACGAGGTCAGGAGATCGAGACCATCCTGGCTGACACGGTGAAACCCCGTCTCTACTAAAAAATACAAAAAAACTAGCCGGGCGAGGTGGTGGGCGCCTGTAGTCCCAGCTACTCGGGAGGCTGAGGCAGGAGAATGGCGTGAACCCGGGAGGCGGAGCTTGCAGTGAGCTGAGATCCGGCCACTGCACTCCAGCCTGGGCCTCAGAGCGAGACTCCGTCTCAGAAAAAAAAAAAAAAAAAAAAAAAATCTCTATAACTACACCCCATTAAGTTGTTGATGTGCATAAAGAATTTGGTGGTGAGGATTTGCAGGTAGGCACAATTTATCCTGCACTCATGAAGGTACACAACATGCAATAGCTTTTTATATGTTAATATAAATAACCCCAATAAAGTGGTTTTTTTTTTTTGACGGATTCTTGCTCTGTCAGTCGGGAAGCAGAGGTGCAGCAACATCTTGGCTCACTAACTGCCTTCCGGGTTCAAGTGATTTCTTGGGCTTAGCCTCCCAAGTAGCTGTGATTACAGGTGCACCACCACACTTAGCTATTTTGTATTTTTAGTAGAGACGGATTTCACCAGGCTAATATGACTCTGTGTCCTGATCCATGATCTAACTGGGCCTCGCCTCCAAAGTGCTGGGATTATAGGGCATGAGCCACCATGTTCATTCTTTAATTTTTAATTTAAAAGTCTGTCTCTAAGTGAAATGTACATAATGTCAGAACTAATATTAACTAACCACTGTAATAAAGCTTTGCAGTTTCTATGGAAAGATGTCATTCCAGTTTCAAATGGAAATTAAGGTGATAGCAAAGGTCATATTAACACACATGCTTTTCTCCTTCCATCCTCCTCCAGGGAAGCTCAGTGATCTATATTCATTATTTGTTCCATACCTATCAAATATTTTACTGAGAATCATCATTGTACAGTCTCATGAATATAAAGACATAAAAAGTCACAGCTGGGAAATGGTGTCACTTTTCGCCTGTAATCCTCAGCACTTTTTGGGAGGCCGAGGTGGGGTGGATCACAAGGCCACAAGAGTTCTGAGACTTAGCCTGGGCTTAATGGTGGTGAAACTCATCTCTACTAAAAATACAAATTATTTGCATGTAGGTTTGTAGTCCTGCAGCTATGCTCGGGAGGCTGAGGCAAGAGACCAAGCTTGTCCCAGAGGAGAGGCTGGGTGAGGCCAGATCATGCCATTTCATTCCAGCCTGGATGACAGAGCAAGACTCTCTCAAAAAAAAAAAAAAAAAAAAAAAAAGCTCACTTAGACGTGGCATCTGCTCCCTGAGCAATCTTCTTCCCTGGTTTTAATTCAGAGGCAATTTCCTTTCCTATCCTTTCCCACCATAGTACTACTGACTGCCTCAGGCCTGAGGCCTGGCTGCTTAGCAGACCTTGATGACACCCATAGGTAGACGTCAGGTGGTGATGACTATACTACTGTGCTCTGCTGATGTGAATAGAAAAATCTAGATAATGAAAGGTCAGTCATGACTGGTAAGGAACTAGAAATGTCCAGTTTCTGTAAAAGCGGAACGAATATTCATGCAGCCCCGAATATGTTTGCAGAGAATGATCTAACGGGGGACAAGTTTCACAATAGGAGGAATATGTAACTACAGGATATAAAATCTGGCACACCTGGGTGGGCTTACGCATGCCGCTTTTTTCTTTTTTGAGCTGGGAGTTTCACTCACACCAAGCTGGAGTGCAGTGGCGGATCTCGGCTCCCAACTCCCTCTGGGCTTCCTAGGTTCAAGTGATTCTCCCGTTTCAGCCTCCTAATAGCTGGGATTATGGTGTATTCAACATCATAACGGCTAATTTTGTATTTTTAGTAGACAGTGGTTTCACCATGTTGGTCAGGCTGGTCTCCAACTCCCAACCTCAGGTGATCCACCCACCTCAGCCTCCACTGGGATTATAGGCATGAGCCACGCCCAGCCAGCTGGCTCACTCTTGAAAACTAATATAGATTAAGAGCTGTACCACCCAACGTGTAGGTCTTAACTGCATCCTGATTCTAAAAGATAAACTGGGTAAGTCTCAGATAATTCGGGCAGAATTAAACATCAACTAGACATGTGTGAGGAACATTAAAATTATTTTAATTTTAAAAATAAAGGTGTTATGCTTAACAAAGAAATAGTCATTGAAATATGCAGATGAAAATGGGTAATTTGCTGGACTATTTAAAACAAACCCTACAGTGGTGTGGGTGGGGTTGGCACTGGGGTATAGATAAAGCAAAATTGGCCAGGAATGATGATTTGTTGTTGTTGTTGGCATTGAGGAGATTCAGGGGACCATGAGCAGGTTTGTTCTTTTGGGTATATTGTGCAATGCTGGGTGGGCCAGTGAATCATCACCCAAATAGTGGACACAGTACCCAACAGGTACTCCTTCAACCCTCACCCCAGGCTCACTTCTGTCTAGAACTTTCAGTGTCTATTACATCTGTTTTTTTTTTTTTTTTTTTTTGAGAGTGAACACCTCTGTCTCCCCAGCAGGCTCCGTGCAGCCTCAACCTCCTGGGTCTAAACGATCCTCCTATCTCAGCCTCCTAAGCCAGACTACAGCACCACCACACCCGCTAATTTTTTTTTTTTTTGAGACTGAGTCTCACCCAGCCCAGGCTGAGCGAGTGGCACGCTCTCAGCCCACGCAAGCTCCACCTCCCGGGTTCACGCCATTCTCCTGCCTCAGCCTCCCGTGTAGCTGGGACTACAGGTGTCTGCCATGACGCTCGGCTAATTTTTTGTATATTTTAGGCAGAGACGGGGCGTTTCACCGTGTTAGGGGCCAGGATGGTCTCGATCTCCTGTACTTGCGATGATCCACCCACCTCGGCCTCCCAAAATGCTGGGATTACAGGTGTGAGCCGTTTTTAAGATTTTTAAGATACAGATTTCTTAGAACATCTGATAGGTGGTGTTATCATTCTCAATACTTTACCAGTGTGTTAATATATGTTTTGTGCTTTGGATTTATTGAGAATTGTTTGCTCCAGTCTATCACGCTTCCTTTTTTAAAAGGCTGATTCGTTGTTTATTTTCCTATTCACCAATTCCTTTGAGCTACATGGGCTGGTCTAAACAACACAGTTTTAATTTAATTTTTTAGAAAACTAAAGCCTGTATTCAGCTTTCCTTCGTTGTTCTATAATGTCTTACATTTGGTGTCTACGGTTCTTAGGCTTCTCCTGGTTGTGATGCGCTTTCAGATTCCATGACCTTCACAGAGGACTGGTCAGGTGTACTGCAAAATGTTCTTTCTTTTTTGAGATGGAGTCTTGCTCTGTCGCCCAGGCTGAGTGCAGTGGTGCGATCTCGGCTCACTGTAACCTCTGTCTCCTGGGTTCAAACGATTCTCCTGCCTCAGCGTCTCGAAGCTGGAGGCTTACAGGTGCGCCACAATTACACTGAAATACTAATTTTTTGTATTTTTTAGAGACAGTTTCATATATTACAGTCAAGATGGTCTCATCTTCTGACTTGACCCACCGGCTTGGAAGGGTTGATTATAGGCGTGGATTACTCATGTGCCAACAAGATGCTGTTCTGCTCCGGTTTGTGTAGGTTTTCTATGTCACGTTTAAATGCGGGATTGGGATGGTGAGGTGCTTTCTCAGGCCATCCTATTACTATGGTCTTATGTGTTGACGCATCTCACCAGCTCAGGCACAAGGTGCTCCTGATGGTTTCCAGGTGTGTGGGTGGTGGCAGTGGCTTCTTGACAGAGACACATCTGCATCCTTGGGAAATCACACGGATTTTACTTAATTCATTGAATAGTATTTGCGAAGACCGTTAGCCGCCACCAGTTGGAATTCTCACCATCCATGATTTTTGTCATTTGAGACCTCAGCCCTGACCTTCTGGCTGCCTGACTGGCTCAAGCTCAGAGAAAGTTTCACCCAGATTCCAATGTAAACTATTAAACGAGTTTACTTCTTTTCAACCCATGACTCGGCGGCCACATCCTTCCCAGGAGTTTCCGACATGTCGAGAGTCAAGGCAAGAACCAAGGACTTTCTCAGTCCCTCTGAAGCGTCGGAACGGATTTGAGCCACAGCTGTTATTCTGCATTGCAAATAACTGCCCAGCCTCCCAGCACAAAGGACACGCAGAGAGTTGGCCTGCATTAAATGGTGGAGTGGTGGGCTTAGGGCATCCACCTGAGGTACGTGTTTGCAGGGCTGGTCTGATTCATGTGAGGTTTCATACTGAAGATCACTTATTCCGCTGGCAGGTCTAAGCCGCAACGCCCCGTCAAGCACCCCAGGGAATGGCACAGCCTGAGACGCCTGCCTGGGTTTTCAGTAACGGCGAGGCTCTGGGGACTGTAATCCGTCTCGCTTCCCCCTGAGTGCACCGGAGCCAAGCGCACGGCTGCATAAGGCTTTCCAGGCGGCGTCATTCCAGTTGCCCCGAGGACTGCTCCGTGAGGAGGCCCCCGGTCGCGGTTGCGGCGGCGAGGGTTGCGGCGGTGCGGGAGGGGCCTGAATGAGAGAAAATCCAGCTGGGGGCGCGCGCACACACCGGGCCAGGCCTCTCCAGCCGCTGAACGGAGAAAGGCCGGGTGGCGGCGAAGCGCCAGCACCTTGATTCCGGGCCGCCATGGGAACCCGAGCGCCAGAACGCGGCGCAGGGGTTCCGCCTCGAGCACTCCTGGTCGAGCAGCGCGCCCGCCCGGGCCCCCGTCCCCTACTCCTGACCTGACGCCTCGTAATTTGGCACTGGCACCGGCCTGGTGGCGCCGCCCGCTTCCACCCGCCTGCCGCCCGCTCCA